TGCCGCCAGACAGACAAGCCCCAGAGCATGCTGAGCACAGCCCCCCTTAACCAGAGCCAGGAGCACCTGGTGCATGTGTCCACGTGAGTGACACCCTTGAACAGGCAGAGCTGGGTGCCGTGCCTCCTGGACAGTGGGTGTGGAATTGCCTGGAAAGGGGTCACAGAGAATGCTCTATGGGATGGAAATCTGCATCCTGTTCCGGATGGTGGATATCTGATTGTAACAATTGTCAGGAAGCATTGAGCCGAACACATAGATGTGTGCGTTTTGCTTTATGTAAATTGAGGCTGAGCCCTTTGACTTCAGAGGGTATCATGAGTTTGCTTTTTACACGCAGAAATCGCTGTAAGGTGCAGCCCAATTAACTCCACATGCCATGGGGATAACAAGCGAGTTGGTCATTACCGGTGTTCGGAGAGCCTGTGCGGTCACCCCAGCTTTGGGGAGCCCCCACCCCCAGAGAGAAAGAGCAGCTACGCAACTGCTGACTCCTCTCCTCAGCGGAAGCTGCACCGGGGCACAGAGGCGGGAGTCCACAGTGCCCCTCCTCGTGTCCAGATCTGCGCACGTTTTTGCTGGGATTCAGCAAGGCCCTGACACTGCTGGCAGAGTGGCAGCCATTCCTCGTGTGCAGCACGGTGCGTGCCCATCTGCCCACCTCAGAGCAGAGCTGTTTGTGCCATAGCGTCAGCGCCACTTCTCCCCGCCTGAGGCTCAGGACTCGTGTCTGATGGGAAGAAGGTTCCTGGTTGAGATGGGCTTCTACCAGGAGGCTCAGCGAGGCTGTGTTTGGACTCTGTTCTGTCCCTTGGAGGCTCAGTGGCTGCTCTGAGTGGGGGAAGCAGGATCACTGTAAAAGCCATTTTCGTGTTGGCGTGCTCCACTCGTGCGCGTCCCAGTCCCAGAGGTGCTGCGGCCTGCAGAGGCGCCGGATCATGGATGGCACCGACAGGTTAGCGAGTAGGTGAGATGCCGTCAGCCAAGAAGAGTGAGGAGCTAAGGAACAGAGGAAAAAAATGAGGCTTTGAAGCTGGGGGCTCTTTCTTGGAGTTAGAATGCCTCCAGTAAAATTGTATTAAATGTAATGAAATAAATGTCAGAATGCTACAGGCCCCTATGAAGACCCAAATCAGGCGGATGTGTTGTCATTTCCTTGACGAGCCTGCCCTGTCCTGGAGTCCCCGCTCCAAAATGAGAGCAATTATTCTAATTTGTTTTATTGCATTAGCGTGGGCAGAACCAAAGAAAGGGGCTTTCTTCCGCGGCTCTGTCATCCTTCCTGCAAGAGCGCCCAGGAGGCCAGACCCTGGACTCTGGAGCGGGAGTGTCATGGGAATTTCTGGAAAGTGATGTCTGCAGCCCTCTGACCTCTGGCCCCCAGCTGCGGCCCCTGCTCGCGGCGGGCCCCATGCTTGGCTCCTCGGCACCTCTGTGTGCCTCTGTCTCCAGCCACTCCTCTCGGAACGGCCTGCAGCAGGAAGATGGCCATTCCCATGGCCCAAAAAGGCATCAAGCTCTTAATGCCACCATGGAGCTGTAACCATCCTTTCCACCCACTCCTTGCAACCCTGCATCAGCCTGTCACAGGCAGCCGTCATCAGGGCCATTTTCAAAGGGTCTCCAGGATTTGGGGAGGGGGAAAAATAAAAATCCACAGAACAGCTTCGGTCATTTCTCTCCCTGGCCGCACGTTTCAGTCCAGACCATCTCCTCCAACTGACTGCGTGCTCACTGTGTGCACATGTGCACACCGTTTGTGGGTTGAGGTTGTAGGTTTCTGTTTAATTGCACTTTGGGGCCGGAAAGTACAGACATTACCCAGAGATGCGGCAGAGGAGCCAGGCCAGGTGGTGACCAACCAGGGGTCAGCGGGCCCTTCAGGTGGAGACAAGTCGGTCTTGAGGGATGCCCAAGCGTTCCTGTGCTGACTGACGTGAAATATGGGGCGCTAACAGTGGACCTCAAATGCGGCAGTCAGCACACGCCCTGAGACCTGGGGTCCCCCTCTGCCTGCTGGTGAAGCACATGGGGTCCCAGAGGAGAGAAGCGGCTGGGTTGGTGCAGAGCCCAGGGCGCCCAGCCCCCTCCCTGTGGCCTCTGAGTGGCATCCAGACCAGTGCACCTGCTAGCAGAGGAAGCCTGTGCCCCCGCCCCTGTGGACCGCTCATTGGCGCTCACGGCTCCTGGGGCAGCTCAGCTTCTCTGTGGAAGAGGAGCCGGCGTAGGACGGATGCCCCGTGTTTGCAGATGGAGGAGAGAGTGGGCAGAGACCGCTGACTGTGAGAGCACGGGGTGCCGAGTGCGTTCACAGTGAGGCCGCCCCAGGCAGAGCTCTCTGCCTTAGCACATGTGGCCCTGAGGGAGGGGGCCCTCGTCGCCCGGCGTTCGTGGGCCGTCACCCTCGCCCCGCGCAGGCTGGGGAGCCACTCACTGGGGTGTGAAGGGACTTGTGCAGCATTACAGAAACGATGCTCTTTCTGTGGCGAAGGCCTTGGTTTTCCCATGTTGAGTGTTTTTAAGAAGCATGTTCTCCGACCAGGAGCTTCAGAGAGAAGCCGTGTGCCTCCCCCACAGCTCGCCTTCATGCTCCTGCCTCCCACCTACTGCCCGAGGCCTGAGGCTTCCTCGTCACCCATGAATGTTCCAGCATCTTGGCACTGTCCCTTTCCCAAGCCAAACGCAGGGGTTGTACGGACAGCTGTAGGTTGCTCGGCTCTTTTTGGGTCTGGCATGTTACTGGCCTGTTTGTGCCATTTTTTCAGAATTAATTTTGGGCTGAAAAAGGCTCAAAGAAGGCTTTGTTCCTTTGACACTTACTCTGGAAGAAAAAAAAATCCGTGGAAAATCTGACATCTGCATTGTAGGGAGAAATCAATAGATGGGGAGGAATATAATTATCCTCTGCTCCTGAAAGAATGTTTCAGATTTTTAAGTGTCTCATATCAGCTTAGAATTTGAATGACATTTTAATTACTTTGTTTTTTTCTCCTTTGCCTGGTTTGAATCTCCGAAGAGTACCACTCTCGGATTCAGAAGGGATGCGGGAGTGGGCCCGCGCTCGCGGGGAGCTCACATGACAGCAGGGCTGAGTGCTCCTGCCAAGTGAGCAGGTGCGTGCTCCTCAGACACGAGCGGTCCGTCCGCGTCAGCAGGGCAGGCTCGCTCAGAGCTGGTCCACAGGACACCCCTGCCTCTGAAGCGCTGTGTTCATACAGACGTGACCGTGCACAGCCGTCCAAACTGGAAGCCGTCTCTCTGGCTCCTTCGTGATCCAGAGAGCCTAGCTCTCTTTTCAAAGTGACTCATTCTGCGAGTCTGAATAGCAGCACTGGGGCCCTTGGAGCACAGCTGACTGCTGACGGCACACAGCCCCTGCGGTGGTGGTGCGGCAGGAGCCGGCTGAGGGCCGGGGCGGGTTCAGCCCCCGCTGCGGTGTGCGCAGGATCCCAGAGAGGCGGATGCTGACGCAGGAAGTGGCCCCCTCCAAGCCAGCTTCAGAATAACCGCTGGGTCTTCACAGTGCTCAGGAGAAATGAGTCTCGACATCCTTCGGGACACAGTTGTAGATAACCATTAGGTGGGCGTGTAGCTCATGCCCAGCCCTGCGCACCGCAGGGGCACTGTCAGAGGTCTTTCTGTGGAAGCCAGCGTGGCCGCCACACGTGACTCTGACTTCCTCATCATTTCTCACCCCTGCTCCTTTGGGTGTCACTGCGTCCATGCCACCCACCAGGGGCCCAGGCCAGGGGTCTTGGCTGCTCCCTGCCCCACACCTGCTCCAATCCTTCAGCCCATCCTGTGGGCTCCACATTCCAGACACATTCCCCGTCCTGGATGGTCATTCTGCCTTGTTGGCCCCATGTGCACCAGAGGACTCATTAACTCACACCGTCCATCCCTGGGTCAGAGCCCTCAGCTGCCCCAAAGTCCTTCCCTGCGTGAAGGTCAATTTTGTGTGTCAACCTGGATGGGCCACTGCCCCATGCCAAACACCAATCTTGGCGTTGCTGCGAGGGTGTTGCACAGATGTGATTGATCCATGATGAGTTGACTTTAGTGAGAAAGGTTGTCCTGGACAGCCTGGTGGGTGGGTGGGTGCGTGGTAGGTGGATGGATGGTAGACGGATGGATGGATGGATGGATGAAACTGAGGGAACTTGGCCCGGAACCGTTGTAGCTGCAGAAACCACCATCACAAGAGAGAGCTGAGCTGCACTCCAGGCTTGTTTCTCTGTCGGTGCGGTTTCTCACCTTATCATCCAGCTCTTATGGAAGAGTCAGAAGTTGGCACTGCCTCTCTGCATCTCAAGCAGCATTTCAGTCCTGGCAGGGGACAGTCTGTTTGTGACTTGTGCCGAGAAGCTCGCCCACAGGCCGTTTGGCGGAGCCCCTCTCTCCACAGCCACTTTCCTGGTGGACCTGGCCACGGAGCGGTTCCCTGGACACCCTCAGGCCTGAGCACCGGGGGCTCCTGTGCCGTGAAATGGCAGTGGCCGCTCCCAGTAGGTGTGGGTGTTTGCATCCAGCCCGTCTGAGCCTCTGCATGTTCGTCAGGGTGGCGGTCGAGACGTCCTCCCTGTCAGGTCTCCCCTGCCGTCTGTGGAAGGGTCAGTAAGGTGGGCGTTTAGCTTTGCAAATTGGCCCATTTTCAAAGCCTCACACTTGCATCGCTGTGACGATGCGCAGAGCCTGGAGACTGAGTTTTAAAGACAGCACAGACGGGGCTGACTGTAAAAGGAAGCCAGCATTCCCTGTTGCGTGCGGTGTGTATTTGCTGACTTTTAATCAACAAAGGACCCTGGATGTGCCTTTTCTGAAGCTTTGTTTAAATTCTACCTCTTACCTCACTCCATGCGTGAGATGAGCTCCGTCTGTTCGTCACTTAAAGCCCCTTGACACAGGTTCTCCCGCCTGGTGGCCAGGGTACCTGTCCCAAGGGACCCATGCCATTCTCAGGGAGTGGTTCACGTTCTTTCCTCTCTGTCTTGCCTTGGCAGGGCCTGATCAAGATCCGGGGGGACCAGTGCTGGTGGGACCTCACCTGCATGGACTTCCACTACGAGGTGAGTAGCATGGTGGCCGTGCGGTGATGCGGTGACGCAGACGTGAGCTGAGCTCTCCTGTCCCCAGTCCTGCCCCATCCAGGGAAACCAGCCACCTGCACTGTAGATGCAGCCTCTTGGGGGCCGCAGCTCAGCTCATTCGACGTCCCTGCTTCCTCTCTCAGGGGGGTTAGGTCACAAGGTGGCTCACAGAGTATCCTGCTTGCGGGGGCTGGCAGGATCGTGTGTCTGGCCACTGTGGTCGTGGGTCCAGTGGTTCATTTTGGTTATGGGCACTGGGTCCCTCTGCTTCTGTCCACAGTCCTGCCCAGGCCCAGACACCAGGCCTGGGACCCTTCCACCAAGAGTCTGAGCTGGCCCTTCGTGCCCCCAGGGAGGGTGCAGACTCGGGGGCTGCTCTGCTCTGCCCTGTGCGCAGCCCCCAGCCACAGCGGACATGGTGCAGGTGTGTCCCCGCTCTCCCAGGGGGCAGGCGCCGGTCCTGCTGTGCTCAGTCCCCCACAGCCCCTCCCCACCTCAGCCCAGGGCTTTGGGCACTATCGTCCATCCCCCCACACACACCCCCAGGCCCAGGCCTGAGTCCCTCCGGATGTCCCGATTCTGCTGCCTGCTCATGTTCACAGCAGGCCTGCACGGTGATCCAGGGTGTCTGGCGTCAGAACAGCATTTGTCTTCTCGGTTACATCCGCTCGCTCCGTGTACACAGTACGTTCCTGTCAGGTGCCCGTGTTCCTCACTTGGGCCCGTGTCGCTCTTGTTGGCAGTGAAATCCTTAACGCGCCTGGAGCGCCACCTGTCAGATGGGACGTTTTCTTCCATCTTCCCCACTCACTGCTTACAGCTGGAACATGGGAGAGGGATTTTTATCCGCTCTTCTTATCAAAGGCAGCTCGCTGACAGTCTTACACCACGGGCCGGGCCGGGGGCCCCTCTGCTCGTCCTGGCCCGCACCCAAGCCCCCAGCCACCCGGTTTACATTGTCCCGATGTGTGAGGCCATGTCCCCCTGAAGGGGGTCAGAGCAGGTGACCAGGGGCGCATGTCAGAGTCCCCATAGCACGAACACCTGTCCTCACCCTGCATGTGGCTCTCAGCCAGGATGGGGGCCCCGTGACTCCTGCTTTAGGTCAATGGAAGGAGCCTTAGTGAGCGGAGAGGGGGCCGGGTGAGCCCAGAGGGCAGGGCTGGGTGCTCTCTGGCCGATGGTGCGCGTCTTCAGAAGGGCCGGCGTTAGGTGCATACCAGGGCGGGGCTCTCCGTCCCACGGCCCTGCACAGGATTCAAGCAGGCAGCAGGCCTGTGACCGCTGTAGCGCTGGCTCGAGAGCCGTGTCCTGGCAGTGGGGCCAGTGGGCATGATGTCTGTGTGGTGTGAGGTCAGGGCCACTTGGAATCGACGTCCCAGGACAGGCCGGGTCAAGGTTCCTTGAGCACCAGAGAACCTGATGGTCTAATGGTCACACAGGATCCAGAGCCAAAGCCAGCAGCTGCCAAGAGGCCTGGTGGCACAGTGCTGCCGTCACGGAGAGCGGGAGGCCATGGCATCTGTCAGGCCTGGGCTGACGGCTGTGCAGGCCCCCTCCAGGGACGGAACCACCCCTCACTCTTCCCAGCAGCAGGAACTTTTCCTTGGTGGATCTCGTTCTAACACCCTCACAGCTCTGTGAGCTAGGGTGGAGTGAGGGCACCCAGCTGATGTGGGGAGTAGGGCCAGGACCCCTCATGCTGTCAGCTGAGGTGGTCTGTGCCCCGGGTGCAGGGACAGTGGGCCACAGGGCCTGTCCTTGGTGACCTGGACTCCTCCAGTCTGTGGCCAGCGGCAGCAGGGCCCCCAGGTAACAGCAAGACCTGTGGGAAGAGAGAGGGCACCTCGTTTGCTCTCATGGCTCCGCTGGCGGAGGCCTCGGGAGAGGGACGCACTAGGGAAGGTGGCAGAGCCGTTTGGGGGTGTCAGGAGCAGCCTGGGGCATGCAGAACAGCAGGGGAGGGGCTCTTGGCGAGAGGAGAACTTAGGCCCCTCCTCCTCCTCTCAAGCGTTGCTTCCGTTTCACCTCGAATTTGGCTGTTGACGAGGCCATGATGAGGCCCCATGAGGGGATGGCAGGAGCCGAGCCTTGGCACTATCTGGGCGCTCAGGGTCCCTGTGAGTTCTCCCCAGCAAACGCCCTGCCCCTGAGAGCCTGAGCTATCATCCTCCTCTACCCATGAGGAAGCAGACACGGAGCTCCGCCCGCACCAGGCCCCGCCAGTGAGTGAGGGCTGGGCAGGAGATGCGTCCCGCCTCGCCCTCCTGCCTCCCCCACTGCGGCAGCTCTTCCAGCTCGTGGCGCGATTGGTGTGGGGAGACCTGAGGCCCTTGGTCTTTGCAGGTCCTCCAGCTGGACAAGGCATAGGCTGGAGGATGCGTCGTGTGTAGGAGCCCCGTCCCCACCCCTCGTGTCTGGTGACCCAGAGGCTTGGCAGGAGCCTGGTAACACTCCGCCCGAGGTCTTCCAGCAGCACGAAGTGCGAGCTGAGCGGGTGGTGCCGTCGTGACTCGTCCTCGGCTCCAGGAGCGCACACTCTGTGAGGGCTCCTCCCCCGCCCCTGGTGGCAGAGGCCTCACGGCCACGCCCAGCCTTGGCCTCTTGTCTTCCTCTCCTCCTATCCAAAAGGCAGTTGCTGGTGGATTCAGTCGGTCAAATCAGAGACACGCTGGGACAAAGGTCCTCGAGTGCAGATCGTGGGTCCCAGCAAGAGAAAAGGCAGGGACCTCCATCTGACATGCCACAGCCAAGCCACGGTCCCTGCAGATCTCGTGATGGCTAGACCTACAGCCACGCAAAGCCAGTGTTCGTGAAGTGCATCCGGGTCAGAATCACCACCTTGGAGCAACGCACTGAAAGCCTTGGTCCACACGGTAGCGCTTCTGCCCAAATAGCTGTTTCTAACCCCAGGCATGCGGGAAGTGGTCTACAAGAATGCCCAGGAGCGCATCGGCTGTCAGACTCTTAACGGGAGGAGGAAAAATGACTGCATTCTACCCACTAGCAGTTTCTTGTCTCATCCAGTTAGCGTTAAAGCATGCAGTGTGCCAACTGGAACAGCAGGAAAACGCTCAGCAGCAAACGTGCGTTCCTGCGTGGTCCTCTCTGCTCTGTACGAGTTCATCACAATTTGAATTTTTCGACTTTGGAATACTTTGATTACACAGATTTACACCTTAAAATTCCTCCATGTTGGACGTATGGCTCTTCAGCCCACACTCGGTGCTTCACTTGTGAGGAGCATGTGCTTTTGGTCGCTGAGCTGTCAAAGGTCTTCTGGCCTCACCGAGCCACCGCCCACAGTCATCGGCGGTCCTCCGGGGCTGGGTCTGCGCTTGAGGGTGGGGCCGGCTTCAGGTGGCCCGTTTCTTTTCTGTTTCTCCTCCCCCCAGGGGTGCACGAAGGAGTTAATACACGTTTACGCTGCTGTTTTGCTCCAAAGTCCTACAAGCAGAGCTGCCCTCTAGTGCAGGGATATAGATCACTTTCCACTCCTGTTACTGGTAAAGTTCCGCAGCCTCGCAGCACAGAAAAGAGGCCTTTGTGTCGTGTTAATTGAGTTTTTACGCGAGAGTTTCGTGCCTTTCTTGCCTGTGGTAGGAACAGCTGACTTCCAGGGCACCTCCAGGATCCGTCTCAGGCCTTGATGTTGAGAGGTGGGGGGCTCCGGGAATCAGCGCCGCAGGTGGGTGCGTGCTCGTGCACATCGTCACCAGGTGCCCTCCTGCCTCTCACGTCTGCCGGTGGACGTGAGGCAGTGCCCACAAGGCACTCACCCCGAGGGTCAGCTGAGCACCAAAATCCTCGTTACTCTGCTTCTCTGACCGGGACACGACGGGACTGTAAGGGCAGCTTTCACGGCATTTCTAGGAGATTTTTGGTCTTTTTCTGGGGATCAGGAAGGCCTCTCACTTCCTGTCTGGCACACGTCTTCAGAGCCATCAGGCTGGGAAATGGTCCCTCACTGCAGCGAGCCCTCAGCTCACACCAGTGCTGTGTACTCCTGGGCAGGCCATCTGTGGCCGCCTGTCCCTGGACACTGCTCGTCCCTCCACAGGCCGGGCAGACAGCCTGAGAGGGGCCATCTTCACAAGCCCCTCAGCCTGGGGCCTGCGGGAAGGGATGCGGTTAGCTCAGTGCTCCAGTCTCAGAGCCAAGTCAGCAGGAGGAGGGGGCAGCAGGAGGGGGGCGGGCGTGCGGTGCCCTCCCCTTAATGTGCTTTGCTGTCTTCGCTGCCAGTGCCGCAGACCTTGTGTCACCTGTGGCGTTTGCCAGTAGGTGCTCCCGTGCCTGGTCATCTGTTCAGGCACAGTGTCCCTGCACCCGCCCGGCAGGGACCTCTGGCTACCGTGGAAGCGCTAAGCCCTGCACATCTGGACGCCCAGTGCCTCGAGGGTCGATGCCAGATTCCAGTCGGGTGCGGTGAGCCTGCTCCCGGCAAGGAGACTGGGATAGGTCACACATCTCCCATCGAATTGGACCCATTTCCCTTTAGTCCAGAACAGCAGTTTGAGGGGCACACGCTCGCCTAGGGCCTCTGCCAAGCTCATGTCTCAGCCTCCCCCGGTGGCAACAGCCCTGCTTTGCCCATTTTTTTGTGAATTCCGTGTAAGGCAGGTTCTTGTGAAAACTCGGGAAGTGGATTGCAAATTGGAGATTTCGAGGATCTGGAGCAGGCGAGTCTTGGCAGACATCTTCAAGGATCCAACAGATCACAAATACGAGGAATCAGTGAACTCCAAGTCCCCCCTCCTTTCATCCTTTCAAGCAAACTGCTGTTCCTGAGAGTTCAGAAGGCAGCATCGTGCACTGCTGATATAACGTGGGACACTCAGAGTGCCTACCTCACGGCGATAAGGACGTGCGGTGCTTTCTAAGGTGGCCTGCGGACCTTCGGGGCTGCTGCCGGGCTGCCGAAGGGGCGCCTGTGGCCGTGAGAGGACGTGTACATCCGGGAGCCCAGCTCCCAGGGCGCG